ATGAACATGGAATGTTTCTCCATCTGTTTGTGTCCTCTCTTACTTTATTGAGCAGTGGTTTGTAGTTCTCCTTGAAGAGATCCTTTCCATCCTTGGTTAATTGTATTCCTAGGTATTTTATTCTCTTTGTAGCAATTGTGAATGGCAGTTCATTCTTGATTTGGCTCTCTTTAAGTCTGTTACTGGTGTATAGGAATGCCTGTGATTTTTGAACATTGATTTTGTATCCTGAGACTTTGCTGAAGTTGCTTATCAGTTTCAGGAGACTTTGGGCTGAGACAATGGGGTCTTTTAGATATACAATCATGTCATTTGCAAATACAGACAATTTAACTTCCTCCTTTCCTATTTGAACACCTTTTCTTTCTTTTTCTTGCCTGATTGCTCTGTCTAGAACTTCTAGTACTATATTGAATAGGAGTGGTGAGAGAGGGCATCCTTGTCTAGTGCCAGATTTCAAAGGAAATGCTTCCAGTTTTTGCCCATTCAGTATGATATTGGCTGTTGGTTTGTCATAAATAGCTTTTATTACTTTGAGACACATTCCATCAATACCGAGTTTATTGAGGGTTTGTAGCATGAATGGCTGTTGAATTTTGTCAAAGGCCTTCTCTGCATCAATTGAGATAATCATATGGTTTTTGTCTTTGGTTCTGTTTATGTGGTGAATTATGTTTATAGACTTGCGTATGTTGAACCAGCCTTACATCCCCTGGATGAATCCTACTTGATCATGGTGGATAAGCTTTTGGATGTGCTGTTGCAATCGGCTTGCCAGTATTTTATTGAAGATTATTGCATCTATGTTCCTCATGGATATTGGCCTGAAGTTTTCGTTTCTTGTTGAGTTTCACTGGGTTTTGGTTTCAGGATGATGTTGGTCTCATAAAATGATTTGGGAAGGATTTCCTCTTTTTGGATTATTTGGAATAGTTTCAGAAGGAATGGTCCCAGCTCCTCTTTCTATATCTGGTAGAATTCAGCTGTGAACCCATCTGGACCTGGGCTTTTTTTGTATAGTAGGCTCTTAATTGCTGCCTCAACTTCAGACCTGGTTATTGGTCTATTCAGGGTTTTGACTTCTTCATGGTTTAGGCTTGGGAAGATGCAAGTGTCCAGGAATTTATCCATTTCTTCCAGGTTTACTAGTTTATGTGCATCGAGTTGTTGGTAATAATCTCTGATGATGGTTTGAATTTCTATGGAATCTGTGGTGATATCCCCTTTATCGTTTTTTATCGCATCTATTTGGTTATTCTCTCTTTTCTTTTTTATTAATCTGGCTAGTGATCTATTTTGTTGATCTTTTCAAAAAACCATTTCTTGGATTTATTGATTTTTTGAAGGGTTTTTCGTGTCTCTATCTCCTTCAGTTCTGCTCTGATCTTCGTTATTTCTTGTCTTCTGCTAGGTTTTGAGTTTTTTTGATCTTGCCCCTCTAGCTCTTTCAATTTTGGCAATAGGGTGTCAATTTTCAATCTCTCCCTGCTTCTCATGTGGGCATTTATTGCTATATATTTTCCTCTAGAGACTGCTTTAAATGTGTCCCAGAGATTCTGGTATGTTGTGTCTTCATTCTCATTGGTTTCAAAGAACATCTTTATTTCTGCCTTCATTTATTTCATTGTTTATCCAGTCAGCATTCAAGAGCCAGTTGTTCAGTTTCCATGAAGCTGTGTGGTTCTGAGTTAGTTTCTGAATTCTGAGTTCTAACTTGATTGCACTGTGGTCTGAGAGACTGTTTGTTATGATTTCCGTTCTTTTGCATTTGCCGAGGCATGATTTACTTTCAATTATGTAGTCCATTTTAGAGTAGGTGCGACGTGGTGCTGAGAAGAATGTATATTCTCTGGATTTGGGGTGGAGAGTTCTGTAAATGTCTATCAGGTTTGCTTGTTCCAGGTCTGAGTTCAAGTCCTGGATATCCTTGTTAATTTTCTGTCTGGTTGATCTGTCTAATATTGAGAGTGGAGTGTTAAAGTCTCTCACTATTATTGTGTGGGAGTCTAAGTCTCTTTGTAAGTCATTAAGAACTTGCCTTATGTAGCTGGGTGCTCCTGTATTGGGTGCACATATATTTAGGATCAATAGCTCTTCTTGATGCATTGATCCTTTTACCATTATGTAATGTTCATCTTTGTCTCTTTTAATCTTTGTTGCTTAAAAGGCTATTTTATCAGAGACGAGAATTGCCACTCCTGCTTTTTGCTCTCCATTTGCTTGGTAAATCTTCCTGCATCCCTTTATTTTGAGCCTTTGTGTATCCTTGCATGTGAGATGGGTTTCCTGGATATATGACACTGATAGATTTTGGCTTTTTATCCAATTTGCCAGTCTGTGTCTTTTGATTGGGGCATTTAGTCCATTTACATTTAGGGTTAATATTGTTATGTGTGGATTTGATCCTGCCATTTTGATGCTAGCTGGCTGTTTTGCCCATTAGTTGATGCAGATTCTTCATTGTGTTGATGTACTTTACCATTTGGTATGTTTTTGGAGTGGCTGGTACTGGTTGTTCCTTTCTATGTGTCGTGCCTCTTTCAGGAGCTTTTGTAACGCAGGCCTGGTGGTGATGAAATCTCTGAGGACTTGTTTGTAGTACCAGATTTCAAAGGGAATGCTTCCAGTTTTTGCCCATTCAGTATGATATTGGCTGTATGTTTGTCATAAATAGCTTTTTTAATGTTGAGATATGTTCTGTCAATACCTAGTTTATTAAGAGTTTTTAGCATAAAGCGCTGTTGAATTTTGTCAAAGGCCTTCTCTTCAGCTATTAAGATAATTATGTGGTTTTTTCTTTGGTTTTATTTATGTGGTGGATTACATTTATAGACTTGTGTATGTTGAACCAGCCTTGCATCCCCTGGATGAAGCCTACTTATCATGATGGATAAGCTATTTGATGTGCTGTTGCAATTGTTTTGCCAGTATTTTATTGAAGATTTTTGCGTCTATGTTCATAATGGATATTGGCCTGAAGTTTTCTTTTTTTGTTGAGTCTCTGCCGGGTTTTGGTATCAGGATGATGTTGGTCTGATTTGGGAAGGGTTCCCTCTTTTTGGATTCTTTGGAATCATTTCAAAAGGAGTGGTACCAGCTCCTCTTTTTATGTCCGGTAGAATTCAGCTGTAAAGCCATCTGGACCTGGGCTTGGTTTGGTTGGTTGGCTATTAATTGCTGCTTTAACTTCAGCCCTTATTATTGGTCTATTCAGGGGTTGGACTTCTTCCTGGTTTAGGCTTGGGAGGGTGCAAGGTCCAGAAATTTATCCATTTCTTCCAGGCTTACTACTTTGTGTGCGTTGAGTTGTTTGTAGTAATCCCTGATGGTAGTTTGTATTTCTGTGGAATCGGTGGTGAGGATATCATTGTTTTTAAGGCTGCATGGTATTCCATCATGTGCTTATGCCACATTTTCTTTACCCATTCATTTATTTTTGAATCCCTAAATTGATTCCATATCTTGGCTATGGTGTTTAGTATTCCATTAAACATGGGGTGCAAATGTCTATTTGTTGTACCCATTTCCTTCTCTTCAGATAAATACCCAGAAGTGGGTTGCTGGATCAAACAGCTATTCTATTTGTAATCTTTCGAGGAGCCTCCATAGTATTCTTCATAGATGCTATCACAGCTTCCTTTCCACTGACAGTATATAAGTTGCCTTTTCCCTGCATCCTCCCCAGCATTTGCTATTTTTTATCTTTCTGATAACAGGCATCCTAAGTGGGATGAGATGATACCTCATAGTGGTTTTGATTTACATTTCCCTGATGATTAGTGATGCTGAGCATTTTTTTTTTCATACAATTGTTGGACATTTGTAGCCTTTTAATTAGGAACTCAAACATCTCAACAGTAAAAAAAAAAGAAAAAGATTTCAAACTGGCAAAAGACCTAATGTTAATACCTACCTGTAAACATTATTTTTTATTCTACTGTTGTTTTAAGTAGGAGCTTAAGCCTTAAACTACATGAGGAATTGTGAGACACCCTATACTTCACACAAGGTCATAGGACATACTTTCATAAGTGCTGTTAAACATTATAAATGAATTTTAATCACAGAGTCAAGTATTTGTTCATTTGCTTTTCAGTGTCCTACAGTGACTTTAATAGCAGGAGCAATTTGTTGGTTTTATTTAGCAAGACATTGGGTGGATTTCCATTCTTCCCTCCATAGGCTGTGATAAAGATTTTTGACACTAACTGAGCTGCTTCAGTTGGAATTTCACATTTTATGCAATAACAGACCATTTTAATTTCACGAAGCAAAGGATTGACTTCTACTTGCAAACAGCACTAAAGAAAGCAATATTGTCGAAAGACGTAGCCTGGTGTATCAAGAGACAGATCTGTTGAATTAAATACAAGGCTTTCATTCCTTTTATTCCACATTTCCATATAACATAAGCATTAATTATACCCATCAGTGACTTCCTTCTTTCAGGGGAATGTTTTCTGTCTAACAAGAAATGTCAACTTAAAGAATGTGTGACACATGAGGCCTACCATTAAAAACACACTAACTTGAACCTAGAGAAAAGGTGATGCATACCCAGCGACAGACTCACAGAAAGAGAACCCAAGGGACAATTACCATCTTTTCTTGCTTTTGGTGATGGGACTGTCTTTTGCCTTACTTGAATTTCTCAAGACTAGCATACATAGCTGTGTTACATCTTATGTCACCTGATGTTTACTTGATGCATTAACAATAAAAGATTGGAAAAAATGCCATGGTATTTTGAAGTTTTTAATGCACCTTCACTTATATGATGTGGAACAGAGACTAAATATCAGGTTCCACTTTAGTCTACCAGGTGTTTGGAATGTTAGATCCCCTGCTGTGCTATGGCCCAGTTAGAGCCCATGGGGATGGCTGGAGAAGTAGATGGAACAAGTACCCTGCGATTTGAGCGAAATGTTAGAGAAGCGAAATCTGCAACATCTGCCAAAAGGCCTTAGAATGCAATAGTGACATTTAACTTTGCATTGCAGGGGAACACTTAAGAATCTGTCCTCAGGAATATACGTGCTGCACCACAGAAATGGAAGACAAGTTAAGCCAACAGAGCAAACTCGAGTTTGAAAACCTTGTGGAAGAGACGAGCCATTTTGTGCGCACCACTTTTGTGTCCAGGCATAAGAAATTTGACGGTAGGTGAAATGGTTTTCACTTCACTTTGTTATAGGTGCACTTTTCTGTGAGAATCTCGGTATCATATGGAAAACATTTTTATAAAGAGGGAGCTTTTCGGTCCCTCTTAAATATTTATAGTGTTGTCTATTTTTAGAAAAGGCATGAGTTTTCTTGACAGTTTTTTTTTAGTAATATATTGGTAAAACCTGGTTTAACAAAGAGCTGTTTTGCATTTTTGCTTTGCCTGTGAGATTTATTGTAAAGATTTAGGTCTAGTTTTCATTATTAGAGGAATTCTAATTCAGGTTTTGGTATACTGTAGCTTGTCTCATTTTCATAGGGGGATTCTCTTTTAAAAAATAAGTGTAATTTAAGATTATTTGAAATATAACATCACATTTTAAGAGAAAAGGCTTATTTTAAATCTCAGTGACACAGATTCCTTTATTTAGACTTTGTCATTGCAATCATAGAGCACATTTTGCATTGCAAGTTCTTCATTCTATATAAGGCTTGGACTCTATTTTGATATTCTGATTATAAGCAGTCAATGTTATTTCTATATTCTGTTTGTTAAATACAGATTTTTATATTACAAAGTAATTATTACTGAGATTTCAGCAATGAATTTTCTCATTAGAGCCTGAATATTGTGAAAATATTCCAAAGTAGTGTGATTCTTTATAAACAGCATCAATTATGCTAACAATGTATTTAGTATCTTTAGATGGTATATTATCTTTAGTGCTCTGAGAAATGAATGTACCTTACTATGAGTGCTTGTAAACCAGACCTGTACCTTGTGTTGAAATGTCTTTGGGTATCACTGGTCCTACATTACCCTAGAGCAACAGAGCTGCTACTCATTTTCTTCTCTCAGTTCAGTCAATGTACAGCAGAGCCAGTTTAGAAAAGGTTGGCCAAAGTTGTTATGTTCCTTTTTACTTTCCTGTGTGGTAGGTAAAATGTTCTACTTTATTGCTGTTTATAAACTATGAAAGCAACACCGATCTTTTTCAAATCAGTTCTCGAAGTTACAGAAGATAGGCGTACCTGGTATTTTCAGTAAAAATGATGTGACACTTTCTGTGTAAGTGACCGGGCCTTCATCTTTCTGCAAGTACGTTTAACTTTATATGTGAATGTTTCTGAAAATAATTTCTTATTTAGCAGTGATGCTGTGAATGTTGTTCTCTTAAATGCAGCTAGGGAGTACCCAGGGGTTGCTCTTGATTATGGATTACAAACCCAGTGACATTCAGAAGTTCCTGACAGGACTCTGTGTTTGAAGGGCAACATTCTCTCACTTCAAGCAAGAGCAAGTGGAGCTATTTTGTCGTTTGTTACATAAAGCACGTGATAATGATCTGCTGCCACTGATTTTGACCTGCGTCTTTGGGAAAAAACAAACAAACAAACAAACAACTCTAGTGAGTTTGTAAAGCTATACTCCAAAGTGCTGTTAAAATAATTCCAGGACAGTTTTCATAGTAAATAATATATATTCTTTTTTTAAAAATATAAATATTAGGTAGCTTTACGGGGAGGTATTTTATTTAAAACAAGTAAAGCCATTCAACAAGACTGAGCCTTATACTTCTTGTATTATATCAATAACTTAATGTTTTGCATCTATAGTTCCTAATCCCACATCTTGTTTGTCTCATTAAAGAAACTTTTCTCCACTCTCTCTCTTATTCCCTCGCCTTCTTTCTTTATATAGGTATATTTTGAATTGTTCTAATGTACCCAGGGCTATGATGTCAATCAGTTTGACAGGACGTTGATTTTGCTAAGATTAGATTTACCTAAAGGGGTGATAAATTCTTTAGCAACTACTCATTTTATTGCAGTTGCATTGCCTTGGATGGGAGATGAATTAAGATTTTTTTGTTGTTGTTGAGGAGGCTTTCAGCCAGGGTGGAAAAAACGAGAATCTAAATGTGATCCTATAATCTCGATTCCTGAAGCACTTAGACTTAAAATAATAATAATATTATAAATGAATTAAAAAGTCACTGTCATCATATCTGCTATTTTCTGGGCAGATTCATGAGGGTCAGTTGTACAATGGTATGACTTATTTTCTTATATCTCAAAGGAGAGCCTGCTCAGTCACCTTCCATGAATGGTTGTACATTCATGTGGGTAGTTTTCCATTTTTAATTTATCTTTTTTTCTAAATACTTTCTCATGTCACTTATTGATGAATATCAGTTGCCGTGAGCACAAAAGAACTATCTAGGTTCAGTTACGGAATGTCACCCTCTGAATTTTATGTTCCCACATAAAACCAACGGGACTATGAAGGACTTTGAGTTTGTTTTCAGTAACTTCCTATTTGCTTAGTCATTTTGCATCATTCTTGGTCTCTTCCTCCATGTATTTGGACATTTTGCCTCTGTTTCCACTTTCTCAGAAGTTTTAATTTGCCATTTGGATTGTGTATGTCTTTGTTGGCTATATGCTCTTTATGAAAAACCACTGCTTAATTAAAATTAAGAAAGGTTGATGACTTTTCTTTCTGTTTTTATTAAGTACAGCAGAAGTTTAAATTACACCTGATACATGTGATCTAGTCCAAGATATATTTAGGGAGGCTAAATTCAATCACCGATACTAATTAATCTCTGGTTATCATTTTTCTTACCATATGAGAAATGCTTTGATTCCATTTAACTGTTTATTTTGTGGCAGCGGTGACTGTTATAAAATTTGAGATTCCAGTACTCTTTAATTAAAACCACATTCTATTTATTGTCTTACTTTCCTGTCTTTTTAAAATTGATTTTTTTGGTAACATGCAGGACAGACACTACAATTTTATAATTTATAAAATTAGAAATACTAATTGGATGGCAGGAAGTTAGAGTGGAATCAACATGAGTTGTTTCCTAGCCTTCCTAAGTCTCTATGCTTTGCTCCAAGATTAGCCTAGCATTTGCACCTGGGACGCAATGAATTTTAAAAGTATATAATACCAATTCCAGAACTTTTAATCCTTTGGCAGAGAACTTTCTTATAGCTGTATATCTTTTATAAATTTTTGAATACAGAATTAAATGTTATGATAAAAGTCTGTATAACGGAGGTTTCTTGACATTACTTTTCCAAGGGTCTGACAAGGTATTTGTTGCTTTGCTTTTTTCTTACTTCTCTGGCCAGATCTCAATTTCTGGCTCTTATCACACATCCTCGTAAGCCTCCCGCCATATGATCAGGGTCTGGCCACTGCACACGTTCTCTCGGAACTACACAAAGATGTTCTCAATGTGCTCTGTAGCCAAGCGCAGCTTTTCTGTTGCTCCTTGGAATTAAAATTTTGGACGAAGACCGAACCCAGTCCACCAGGCAGAAGGATCACATTACTCCCTTCCTTTTCACCTTCCTCTCCTCTGCCAAACACCCCAGGCAACAGATAAGCACAAGCATATTAAAACATAGACAAAGGGAGAATCATCTTTGTGTACTCACTCATTTTTAGCATTTTTACACTTAGTGACCGGCCTGTCGAATTGGCATTTGTATCTAAGCCCCCTTTTGCTGTTGCGCTACCAAGTAGCTCATGTGTTAGGGAAAATGGAGAACAATCAAATATTCAGCTAGCAGTCATAGTAATAAGAGGCAACATCTGACTGCGATCCCTGCCCTTCATAGATTTTAACCCTAGATATTTGCAGTAAACTCCAGTGCAGTCATCCGGATGTTGTAATAAACGGCAGCGTCAGGATTCCATCCCAGGCTGAGCACTCCTGGATCCCTGCCCTCAGCCACCTACCACATTCTCTCTCCAGTGCTTTCCAGTTCCCAGATGTGCTGGCATCTTGTGGTGTACACCACCTATTCCTCTATCTCACCCTCCCAGGCCTGGCCTGCCCCAGTTATTGTGGGGAGGATGTGGAAATGACTGTCAGGGAAAAGTGAAAGATTTGTTTTAAATTCTTTTTTTTTTTTCACCTGTTTCGTTTCAGATAATTTATTTGAGTATTTCTTTTTTATACTTGCTGGACTGTCCAAAACTTCAATCTTGCCTTTTCCACCTTCAGAATTGGGAAGCTTAATGTTATCTATGGTGACTTCAGATGGGATGCTCTCATCTTCATCCTCTGATTCTGAACTGTTCTCTGAACTGTCTTGTGAACTCTCCCCTGAACTGTCTACTTCTTTTGAATCTGACTGATTCATCTCAAACTGAGCCACATCCGTTTGTATAACTTTGCCATGAGTCCCATCAATGTTTTCAATATTGAAACGACCAGGTAGTGCAGCTGCCATTTCTTTTCTTAGCTTTTCGTTTGCCTGTGCCATCTGTGGGACAAAGGTCTGTACCTGACCCAGTAAGGGACTCCTTTCTATCCGGACTGTTTGAATAGTGGAGGTCTTTCTGGACTTAGGTTGGGGATTGATGAACGACCTGTCCCATATACCTCCATGGCCGTCGCATCCCGCAGTCAGCAGCTCCCTGGACACTGGGAGCCCCGAGCAGTCCGGACAGGGAGACGAACAACTCCGGATAGCGGGGATTTCCATGGACCATGCTTCCCGCAAGCCTCCCAAGCCCTCACTCCTGTTTTAAATTCTAAAAACAAACAAACAAAAACCCACCTAAATATAATCCAGCCCTCAAGGAATCTGGAGCTTTGAGAGGGTAAGGGACTTGCCAAGTTTCCACTAAGAATGATGACTCCAGGACTTACATCAGAATTAGAAATAGTCAGTTATATATAGGAAGTTGATACTTGATTGCAATTCTAAATTTTTATTTGTTTTGAATGGATGCTGTTGAAAAATTACTAAAATTTCTTTTAAAAGGACAATAGAAATATTGGTGGGTGGAGAATGTACCCATATCTTTGGGAAGGGCAGGAACAGAATTAAATTGGAATTTGTCCCTAAATTAAAGGGTAATGGGTGCTTTTTGTAAAAACCTTTATTGAATCAATGAAGATATATTATTTTTTCTCTTTACCTCACAAAATGCCTTGTGGTTTCTATCTCGGTGTCAGCACTAACACCCTATCCTCTAAGAATGTCTGTGGAGTATGGATTATTCAGAGGCAGGAAAATTTAGTTGAAGGGATATTTTATTTAGGTGACTTTTTGCCTTTGGATTTATTTGAGCTGAAATGAATTCACAATTGGAGCTTCATATGAAGTTTCTTGTTTAGTGTGTTCTTCTTGCTCTTACTGTTTAACTTTCCTTCCTGGCTTTTATTAATGCATTTTATTGATATATTTGTCCAGAAATTTTGGCAGCCAGTGCATTTTTAAAAGCAAAATAAAAATATTGAACTGTAATTTCCATCCTTATGAAGGACACAGAAATAATTTATATATAGTGACATAGTATTTTTACACTGCAAATCTGCTTGTGTTTTCTTTTTAAATATCATTTCTCATCTATATACTGTACAGATGACAATAATGTAATGACTTCCTTAATATATAGCCTAATTTTCTCAGAGAATATACTTATTTGAAAAGCAAAAAAACCTAAATAGCTTCCCATATGGTGGTAGCATCTTTCATATTTTCTGTCACAAGGGTGATACTTTTTTGTATGAGTGTGTGATTTCTATTTGAAAACATTTATTTAGAGCCTACCATAGAGAAGGCACTTAACTAAGTATTGTCATAGATTAAAAAGTGACTAATAGGGGCTGGGCGTGGTGGCTCACGCCTGTAATCCCAACACTTTGGGAGGCCGAGGCGGGTGGATCATGAGGTCAAGAGATTGAGACCATCCTTGTCAACATGGTGAAACCCCGTCTCTACTAAAAATACAAAAAATTAGCTGGGCATGGTGGCCTGTGCCTGTAATCCCAGTTACTCAGGGGGCCGAGGCAGGAGAATTGCCTGAACCCAGGAGGCGGAGGTTGCAGTGAGCCGAGATCGCACCATTGCACTCCAGCCTGGGTAACAAGAGCGAAACTCCATCTCAAAAAAAAAAAAAAAAAAAAAGTGACTAATAATTTGGTCATTGCCTGTCAAGGAGTTTACCTTTTTGGGGGGAGACATAAGTATAAACCTAAGAGTAAAAAAGGCAGAATTGCTTGCATCCTAAAGTAGAATTTCATTGGAAAGAGGAGGGAGGAAAGTTTTCTATTTAGTGACATCCAAGAAGACTGTCTGGGAGAGCTTGCGGTTCAATATTCAAAGAATGTCTTAAGATTGTGGTAATTAAACAAGTGGCAAGAGGAGACAAAACGCATCAGAGATTTTGTATGCAAGTCCACAGAGTCTGTAGGACACATTGTCAATAATTGACTGTTGATTTTCTTTCAACAATGTTTATTTATTGACATTTAGCATATATCTATTATATAGATATTCTGTCACAATGTCTTATTCCTTGTACCAGCTGGCTACTGTTTTGTAACAAAAAACACACAATTTCATAAACAAGAAGTGTTTCTTTTTCCTTAATGCATCTTTGGGTTGACTAGAGATTGGCTGTTGAAAGCTGTGCTCATATAGGCTTGACTCTGTGGATTTAGAGTCATTTTGGTCTGGTCTGATCTACATGTAACTTATTCTTTTGAGAGCGGTACTCTGTCTTAAGCTTGTTTTTCTCTTAGTGGAGTTTGGAGATGCTAATATAGACAGGTGGAGTCAGAATGCCCCTTACAGCCGAAATTAGAATTACCACACTGACTTCCTAATGTCCATAAGCCAGAGCAAATCTCATGGTCATTCTCATTACTGGGGTAAGAGATTATCCTACTCCCATGGAAGTGGAGGTGGGGAAAGGAATGATTATTTCTATCTCCTAATCTACTATAGTCCTCAAGTCACTGCCTCTTGCTACCTCCCAAACAATATTTTACTGATCACATTGACTTTGAACAAATAGATTCCCTAAGAATTTAATAACAGTAATGATTTTCCAAGTAAATAACGGCAAGACAGCCACAATTGTCATACTACCTCCAATATTCTAACACACTAACAAATACATGTGTAACTATACATGCACACACATACCACACAACACATATCCCTCTGTGATGTCATTAATATTATACAGATAAATAGATATAATATTTCCATGTACTGTGCTGCTGCTGTCCTAAATGATTGCACAGAATAATAGTTAACTGCACTTCATAGGACTTATAATGTTAATCATCCTAGGAAGTAATTAGCTGAATGCCTTCTGTATATTTGCTAGGCTGCCACCTCCATGACATGTTTTCCCTCTGAAGGACACTCCTCTTGAAATCAGAATGTGCTAAATGGAGTTTTAGAAATTAGAGAAGCAGTCTCACTGGCATTGGAAAGTAATCTGCCAAGTTTCCCAATGGGCAGATCTTTCAAAAATAAAACTCATCTAACTAGAGATTGGGGCTTTGACAGAGATACTGAACAGGTTTATAAATCACGAACACCTTGCATTTGTACAGTGCTGAAAGAGAAGATCCTGGTAGGGAGTCCTTTAACTGTGGTGCATATAGAACCGAGATCTTTGTACAAGTGGAATATACTTTTCTTCTCTCCTCCTCCTCCTCCTTCTTATTCTTCTCTCTCTCTCTCTCTCTTTCTCTTTCATTCTCCTCCTTTGAACTTTGACAGATCTTTCAAAACTAAGGCTGCACACTGATAATCATCAGCTCTGGCTTCAGTGATGGACTTCTAATCTTTTTCTTATTCTAAGACCCCTACCACACACCTCGAAGTAACTTGAAATACATTATGCTCCCAGTGTGGTTGTAATATTATCATCTTATTATCACCAATTCCCTTGCATGGTGGCTTTGCTGAGCAGCTGTTTCACAGACAAGCCAATTTCTTTTAAGTATTGCTCTATCAGACTCCGAAACCAGTTCTACCAGAAGGATTCTTGGTCATGAATGTTAATGAGCAGACAAGTATCCTTTCTCTGACAGAGGCTCACTAATCCTTTGAGTAAGTATGGGTGAATTACAGGAGAAATTTTATTTAAGTTAAATTGATCTGCCACTGAATAGAGAAAACTTATTTTCTTATTTTAATGAAAATCGAGAAAAAAATATTGAATGAGGGTATAAATTAGAGCTCCCTGGAAACATTTCTGTCTTCTGATCTGAGAACACAGTACCTCAGTGGAGACTGGCTTGACTGCAAAGCGTGCATAACTCCAGTAAACTCAGGATTTCTAGTGAGGCCTGATCTGCAGTGGGGCAGTGGGAAATGGAACAGAAACCTCTCTCTCTCTCTGGGATTTGGTATCAAGAGATTCTTTACATTTTATAGTGATAAGAAATTGGGATAAAAAAATTATTTTTTCCTCTTCCCTTGAGCCAATGTAAGATTTCCTTTTTTTTTTTTGTCAGACAATTAAGATAGTAAAGCCATAAGAACAGCATTTGTATGCTTTTTGTATTCTAAGAATATGAGAGAAATAATTTCAGTGAACTTTTATCTGAAATGATATAACCATGTCCTGATGGAATCCTGAGGTGGGCAGGTAGAAAGGAATGAGATGGGCAGAAAGATGATCATTGTTGAAGCTGGTTGATGAGTCCTTGGGGAGTTCATAGAACATTCTGGGTTGTGTATAGATTCCGAATTTCCGTAATAAAGAGACTTAAAAGAAAGAGACAGCTGGCCTGCAGAGTGGCTCATGCCTGCAATCTCACACTATGGGAGACTGAAGCGGGTGGATCACCTGAGGTCAGGAGTTTGAGACCAGCCTGGCTAACATGACAAAATTCTGTCTCTACTAAAACAATTACAAAAAGTCACCAGGTATAGTGGTGCAGGCCTGTAGTCACAGCTACTCAGGAGGCTGAGGCACAAGAATCGCTTGAACCCAGAACGGGGAGGTTGCACTGAAACGAGATTGTGCCACTGCATACCAGCCTGGGCAACAGAATGAGACTCTGTCTCAAAAAACAAACAAACAAAAAAATAAACAAAAAAAAAAAACAAAAAAAAAATGAGAGAGAGAGAGACACAGAGCAAGCTGACTTGAACATATACAGGACTGAAGATAGCCAGACTGTGAATCCATTCTACATACAGAACAATGTCGGCCTGTGTTGCTGCTCTCATTTTTTGTGTGTTCAACAGTAAATTCCACAGAGCACATCATTTTCAAATTGCAAACCCGAACACAACCTATAAGATTTTAACTCAGTTCAAGGCTACTTAGCTTATGCTTCCATCCAATATTTTATTATTGTTGTGCTGAAAATGACATCTTTAACCTATCCACATGAACAGGCTTGTTAAAATGATGCTTAATCTTTACATCTCCTTGGTAAGTGTGATTGAATATGTTCAACTTTTGTTTATAAGATATATGGACACCAAAATAAGGAAAGTATCCAAACCCGAACTTTGGCAAGATTCAGAAGACAATGTAATGTGTTTATTATCAAATGCATTACAAATAACATTTCCATATCATTTAGTTGTCCTTCAGTGACTTTTTACTGAGCGACCAACACTAGCATGAGCCCTTGGGGTTTGGCATTTTAACAAATGTGGAAAGACAGCTTACCTAAGCAGTTAATTGTCTATCATTCCAAGTATTCCCTTAGGCAGAAACAGGATCCTGAACCC